TCCTACAATATCAGAAAAATACAACAATCAAGCAACCTTCTATGAGCAAACACTTGGTGACAGTGGGAAGGAAAACCTCCCTTCTGACAGGAAGAAACAGGAAATGATGGGAAATGAAGAGAGCAAAGTGAGATGGGACGAAAGGCAAACTATGGGAGAGAGAGAGCCATAGTTTTATAGTTGCAAATTAGTAAATACAGCCATTGGTGGAAACACGCGAGGAGTGGAATAAGATGAGTGAAGAAGAAAGAGTCAGTGCATCATTGGAAGCCTTCCCAGCAGTTTGATCCTACAGCATTGTAACCAAGGGTTCGGAGTCATCATATCCAGCCTTAACTATAAGCTTTGTCAGAAAGGAAAGTTTTGAGTCTAATCTTAAAAGTAAATCCAAGCAGGGAGCTGGCTCCACAGAAGAGGGACATGAAAATGAAGGCTCTGCATGGCTCACATCCTCAGAACTTTAAAAAAAAAACTCCAGATCTCAAGATTTCCATAAAAATCAGGCTGAATTAATGGTGAAGCAGAACACCAGGATTTACTGTGGGATAATTAACTCTTAACCTAAAAGAATATTGAGTTTTTACTCCACGCTGGTGTGAGCTTTAGAGGCAGTGGGATATTGGGAATTGTACTTAAGAGCTTAACTTGTTGAACAGTGGGTTCACTTTTCTTAGTGACTGTACTGGAAATTAGGCAGATGGAAATATTTAAGAAAGCCAGATGTACTCCAGAAGTGAAAATCAGAGTTTCCAAAAGTTGATTCTGTTCATATGGACGTAGGGTTTTCAGTGGGAGAAACGCTCAAGATGAACAGAATCAACTTTTGGAGATTTACTTACCTGGATGATTGAGAATGCATCGAGACGAAAATCAGAGTTTCGATTATTTTGTGCAAACGGAGACAAAATTCTTATTGATCAGTGTTAACTGTGCGAGTTAGTTGTGTTCACAGGTTGTGCTGCACCAACAACCTTTTACTGGCAGCTTAGTGAAGGTCCAGCCTACAATTACCAATGCAATATAAAAACACTTTAAAGACATGCAGGCACGCCTCTGCATATAGCAAAAACTAGGCCTGGATTGCAGCTGCAAGTGTAGCAAAACCTGACTGTGCTGTGCACTTGGCACTGCTCTGATAACATTTCCCACAGACTGCTGCCATGCAGTAACACACATTTAACTACATTCTGCAGAAGATGTGACTCATTTTCTAAATTCAAAGATGTTCATTGTAAATGTCAGTGTTTTTAAGTTTAACTGTAAGTGTTTATCATTTATAATAGTGTATATATAGATGCTGCTTTTGAATGTAAACAGAGTTAATCATCTGTGGAGGGTCATATAACAGAGCAGTCATGCCAAAACTTTGCTTTTGGCTGTGCATAAATTTATGTGCAGATGCAGAAGAAAGTCAAACTTGTGTTGCCTTGCCTTTTTTGCTTTTGTGTGTATGAGAATATTCACTGAGGATTCTGGACACTTTCACATAAACCATAATCCCTCAAACGACCTTTACTTTATTCACAAGTAATGGCTGCCCCTGAGACAGATGCACAGTGGGACTAAATCTTGGAGAGGGTTTGACTTTTACAGTGTAACACCCATTAGACTTATTTTAATAACATACTAAGTTGCCAGAAACAGATGTTATTAATGACTGGATTTCTATTAGCTGTTCCTGTACCTGATTCCTGAAATTGCGCTTGCTTGGATGACTCGTACGGTTCTCTGAATGCGTAAATGGAGGGAAGCCATCATTTGAGCTATTAGTTGCACTTTCACTCCTATAACCACTCGAAATGTCAGCCATTACTCCAATGAAATGGAGCTCGATCAGGTGCCATTACAATTCAGCCAGATCATTCTGAACGTGGCCGGCTTGGTCATTCACTCAGATTTCACTCAGGCAACTTGGATAAAAGTGTGCTGCATAGCATTGGCTAAAATGTATATGTTATCTACTCTGCTTTGCTTTTCTGTGTAAGTCACAAAAACACTGATACTTCATTTGTACATTAGATGTATAGGTAAGCAACACGAATAGTTAATTTGGAAATGCAGAAAAAACACTTTCTCTTATGACACAATGCCTCCCTTGTATGTATTACTTACAGCACACTTTATTTCATTCACTTGTTTAAATGAAGCTTTAGTTGTATGGAACAATTTGAACATGTAATTGAGGATACTACACAGAACTGCCAACATGGTCTCATCAATGATTCATTTGTTGGATAATTTATTCATTAATGACCTTATCGTGGATGTCTGGAAAGAGACATTAGATTAGCCGGTCTCAGAGGACATGCATATGTTTTCATTGTCTGTCTGTCTTGCATTTTTCATAATGTGAACATGGTGCAGATAAGCAGCAACAAAGTTCTAAAAGTTCATCCCTGCAAACTGAGTTCTTCAGTGTGAAAAATATTTTATGACACCATTTCAGAGATTTGATTCAGTTCAATTCAGGTTTATTTATATAGCACCAAATCACAATAACAGTTGCCTCAAGGCTCAAGGCCCCTTATAAGGGAAGGTATAGATCCTCGCGGATTCTGGAGAACATCCCAACAATCAGATGGCTCCATATGAGCCAGCACCCTTACAACAGGATGAAACCTCCAGCAGAACCAGGGTCAGGAAGGTAGGAAGTAAACTGAGGTGATGTGGTACTATGAGGGCCTGATTATTCAAGACCTTGTATGTCAGGGGAAGAGGTTTAACCTCCTGGGACCTGGGGTCCACATATGTGGACATCACATTTTGGGTAATTTAGACCAAAATACTCAATTTTGCTCTACAAGGGCCTGATATCCACTTACGAGGACATTATACTGCTACTGTTTTATCAAAATTTTAAATGAATATCCTCATATGTGGCTCTCATCATTCTTAGAAACAAAAATTAGGTAAAAAAAAAATAAATCTTGTAATCCTTTGTTTGAAATTAAAAATGCATGCCGTGGAAGAGTTCAGGTCTTAGGAGGTTAAATTTGATTATGGATATAACAGGGAGCCCCTAATATGGAATAATCTCCTGTCAGTACTCTCTCTGCAGCATTTTGTATCAACTGACAGCTTTTCTGGGAACTTTTAGAAGAACATGATAATAATGAGTTAAAATAACCCAACCTAGAAATAACAAATGCATAAACAATTAGTTTTTCAGCATCCGTCTGAGACAGGATGCTTCTTTATAGATATTGTAAGAAAGCAGTCCTGCATATGTATTAAATATGCTTATATTGTATCATATCCTGGTCAAAAATGGCTCCAAGATTCCTCACAGTGCTGCTGGAGACCAAGTAATTGCCATCCAGAGAACATATCTGGTTTCTAAGATTTTTAGGCCCAAATATAGTGACCTCGATTTTATCTCATCTTTTGAAAATTATGGTACATCCAGGCCTTCTCCAGTCTTCTCATTACCTCAGTCTCTTCTATAACTGATTCATTTTTGTCACCTGACTTAATATGTAACTTCATATATAATATGACAGTTATATAAGAAAGAATGCATTACAACTGGCCAACTGCAGTCACTCTTGTATTTGTGACAGAGGCCAGAACACAAAGTGAGTAAAAGCAAAGAAGAAAAGCCCCAGTTGGTTTTGAAGTGTATCTATCACAAATACGTCTGTCAACAACTCTGGAACTCTATTATATATCGTCAAGTTTTCAAAAAGTCCTCAGAAGGATTCTGAGAAGAAAGTACAATAAAGCACATAAGGACTTGAATGTATTTAGACATCACAAAACAAATGCTGTTAAACTGAATACTGTGCATACTGGAACATGTTAGATAACTAAACTATATCAAGTCAATAAATAATGAACTGAATTTTAACAAAGACTTTTTAAGCACGAGCCTTTATTGATTTAGACTGATTGTTACTGTCTCAAACAGACACACATGACTAACAAAGTAGAAATGCAGAATGTGGAAAGATGACATGGGCAATTGCATTAAAAAGTAATTTGACATGATAAAATAAGCCTCCAGCTCACACTGCTTGTACTCCTGCTCGTCTTCTTCGGCCTCGCGATCTCCTCATGTTTAAAACCTCTGCAAATGAACACAAAGTAAATTTAAACATGACAAAACGGTGCCCTACATACCAGATTATTTAGAGTGATGGTGCAGCAGCTGGACTTCCTGTTCCCTCCAGAAGAGGTCCCCCCCCTCTCTAATCATTTTGCAGGGTCATCCTGTGTGAGAAAAATATTGATGCTGTTTTAAATCCCTCTGTATTTTTCTGCACATATTGAAGGCCATCATGTCACATCAGTTTTCTGTTACACAGACCATGGCTTCATTTATTGCTTAGACCTCTGCGGCTCCAAGAAAAAAACAAAAGAAAAAGGATTCATGGGAAAACTATTGATTCAGTAACATTTTTTTTTTCATAGTGTAATTTGCAACATGGTGTTTCTCATTTGTCAGCGCCCATGGAGTAGTGTAGCTGAAGCACACCCACAGCGCAGAGGATCATTGACATGCAGGGGATGTTACTGCATGCCCTACTTTCCTGATAAAACCACTGACATGTTAAATGAGGTAGAAGTTAAAGTAGTGTTTCTGTGTTGTCACAAGAATAACAGACAGGGGAGCTGAGGGGAGCAGCAGTCTGTGTTCAAACACCTTCGCTGCCCTCTGCGAGAGTCCCCATCTAACATGGCTAAGTAGGTAAATGTGATGGAGTATTGATCTGAGCATCGGAGTTTTAGTTCCCATCCATTAGTTGAAAGGACTCAAGGAGAGAAGAGTGAAAAAGTCCTCAGGGATGCCCCCCCTGATGCTGTGATGACTCTTCATTAACTCAGTTATCTAAAAATACTTTCCATGGCATACTTTCCAGATTCATTCAGACTCCTCAGGGGCAACAGCACCCCTCAGTGGACATAAGGATATATAACGCCTGCTATTCTTGAATTTACTGAATAATTTACACAAATCAGAGACAGAAAAACTGAAGATGACATTTCATTTTTGTTGACATTTGATATTTTTATTCTCACGTTCAGTAACCACGGTTCTGTTTTCTGTCACTTTATCAGAAATAGTCAAGCATAAATCAACCAGGCCTACCCAGCTAGGTTTGAAGCCTCATCACACACGGCTGAGGGTTCACGTCAAAGACTCTCACTCATTGTCTGTCTTATTATCGCTCACATACACACATCTAGACACACACGCGTCACACTGTTCCCCAGCGAAAGGCATCCGCGCGGGATTATGCCAGCACTGTAAAAATATTATAGCCTATCATAGTAACACCGTAGCAGCGCCGCCTACAGCTGAAACAATAAGAGCCACAAAGCTTTAGTCTGCTATTGCTTTAGTAGGATAATATATGGAAGGTTCACATTTCAGCATATATCAATATGATAGGAAGACCCTGAAAAACTATGGTGTTTGATCTGCTGGCACAGAAAGCATTGCAGATATTTACAGTACAGCCTGTACATATATTCAGAATGCAGATACACAGGCATCACCGTGCACACTCGCAAACATTTCAAACATGCTTCCCAGAAGCAGAGCAATGGTCACATGTCTTAGACATTGTATAATATGAGAGCAAAAAAAAAACAAAACAAGCAACAGTGACACAATATACAGAAAGGTAATGACAACAATAACTTTAAAATGGCATTTCATTTAGATAACACTGTAAATAGTGACAATAGAGAACAAAATAAACAGTAATCTCCACAAAATGTACGCTGAGCACGTTCACGGACCCGATGAGTGTTTTCCCTTTATGTGATTCAGATCCTTGTGAAAGTCATTTCACCTGAAACTAGTGCAGCTTTCACAACACAGTGCTGACACGTAACTATGTGCTGGTCTTGGTATTTTTAGAGCACAGATGTTTTCTTTGCATTTTTACAGTATGTGTAGTTTTTCATTTAATAACTACATGTGTATTAATTAATAAAGGAGCAAACCTGCATGTCATAGAGGTTTGCACGAGTGTATTATTAGTTTAGATTTGAAGATCATCACATACTATCAATGCTGTGTGATTTTTTTTATATAAATACTCTACAATGGAATCAGAACAGAAGTATTATCTATTTTCTATTAATAGAAAACATTGTGAAATGCTTTGATCAAATTTGTCATGTATATTTGTCAGGCAGGTCATGTAAAATTAGTTAAGATAATTAATATCTGTTGTATTTATATTCATATAATTTATATTATATGTTCTAATATAACTTATATTTAACTTCGGTGTACATTTCTGTTAGGTACTCTGTTACAGTAACCATGAAAGTGATCAGGTGAAGGTTAAACACTAACCCAACCACTGCAGCAGCATCGTCATGATCATACCTGCTGGTGCTGGCTTCCTTACCTCGTCACTGGAAGATTTGGAAGATTAAATCAGAGAAATACAATAATAAAATAATATGTAGTTTCTATAATCTACATGGATACATGAGACCTGGTGTCAAATCACTAAATTACTTTACTGGAAACAAACACTGAATCTGTGTTTTTTAAAGGCTTGGAAAATAATGATTTATGATAAAAATAAGTAGTGATATGTTGTTTAAAGACACCTGATAAAATGACACAAATACTCTTTCCTTCAATGTGTGTGTCTGTGTGTGGTACAGTAAAGCTTCCTATGCCTCAGCACCGTGAAAAGGCTGAAGTCCACTGCCTGGGCGATTATCCTCCTGGGTCACTGGTTCTCAGGCTCAGCTGCTTTGGCAGTGTGACCCAAGACAAAGCTTAATTTCTGGGGTTCAGAGCTTGGCCTCGGGGCTTGTCTGGTCAACGGGGAGAAAAGAAGAGCGGATCCTCTGGGCTTCGTTAACACATAGGTGACCAAATGCCTTGTTGTACCATTCTGGAGATCTTCCCCTGTAACAAGAAACACACTCATTAGCGACTGCAGACGAGGTTGAAACATAAGACTTTAAAAACCCTGGAGGTGCAACCACACCTGAGGTCCACTCTGGAGATATGGGTGAGTCTGGTCCTCCCCGTCCCACAGGGCTCTAAGAGGTACTGTGACTCCAGCACAACCCCCCTCACTGATCCTATCGGTGGGCTGTCTTCATGATCGACAGACACACTAACAAGCGCAGAGGAGCCTTTACAGAGGTCTGTACGCCATGATCTAAAGGACACAAGCAAGGAGTCAATTTGAGGTATTCTTTCTTATTAGGGCGTCAACTATCAATGGTTTATTTTCAGGAACAATTTCATGTAAATTCTCGGGCGATTAAATTTTTGAAACAGGCAATCAAAATGTTCATATTATTAAATAATAAATGTCTCGTCTTGCCAAGAATAAAAGCTGCAAACTGTCACATATGAAGAACCTGCCCCCATTACATTTGTAGGAGTTGGAGAACATATCAATTTTCTTTCCAACAACTAATCAGCCGCTTGTCACAGCTCTTCTTTTTACACAGTGTGGTATTTTAAAAATTCTCCTGTATGTAAAGCCCTGTTTAAACAGACATACTGTTGCTCTTTCTGATTAATCTTTTCATTCAACACGTCAGTCTTTATGTGAGGGAGAACACCGATTGCAAAAAGAAAAGGCAAACGAAATTTAGTTTCCCTGACCTTAGTACCACATATTCACAGGTGGGTTGAGGTGGCATGTTGCAGCAGGAGTACAGGTACACGTCCGTCTGTTTGTCCAGCGTCTCCAGAATCTTCTCCTGCTGTAATTCAGTCTCCCACAGCGGGCGTTCTCTCAGCAGCCGATGCAGCACCTCAGCGGGAGCTGCCGACACCTCGACACACACTCTCCACCTCCTCAGAGGGTTACCGTCTCCTACCTTAGAGAGAAACACATTGGAAGAGCGAAATATTATGTAAAGGTGTATCTCAAGGGCAATACTAGAAACTTTATAGATTTGATTTTCCTAGACCAGACTAAGTGGTTAGATGTAGATGTAATCAGTACATGTTTCTGATAATCTGCTTGCGCAGACATGAATAAGAACAATATTTTTCTGATTTCCACTTCAAGCCCAAGTCACAGAGGTCAAGAGACTAGTCAGAAACCCCCGGGCAACGTTCTGTTGCTAAAGAAAAATATGCATTTTCTAATTAGTTGGCAAGTGGCTGCTGGCTGTAGCTAGGTTTAAATCACATGCAAATATAGAGATGGTCAAAAAGA